GATAGAAACATAGGAGTTTCTGTAGAGAAGAATGGCAGACTCTCCAGAGCCTAATTTAAGTTCTTACTATGCTCACTGTTTGGAGTCTTGGTAGGTTTTATATTACAAGAACATTAGAAATTAGTAGCACTAGAAGAATAAATCTAGTATTAAGATTTAAATAGTTACTATTAAACCAAAACTTAATAAATTTAGGAAATTTTGACTATGTAAAGTGATTTTCAAGTTTATTGCATTTTAAATATTAGAATCGAACTCTTTAATCTTGTTTGGAAAATTAAAGATGAATGTTTAAAAACGTATTCTCAGTATTTTAAAAGTAATAAAGCGTTCATAATAGTTTTTAAAGCGGAAATGTTTTGTTTCCCAACAGAACTTTATAAATTCCATATCATCTCTTTCATGGATCGGTCTCAATCGAAAAAGCACTAGTCATGATTGGTTTTGGATAAATGGTTCCGTTTTTCAAACGAAGTAAGTTTTTCTGAATGATGTTATACAGAAATATAAAAACTACAAAAAAGAAAACCAGATAAGGAATATCATGAAACAGAATTAAGGACATGTAAAATAAATAGAAATTAAGGCCATTCAATTCTGACAGGCAATTATACATAATAATGAAGCTCTCACTATTTGTTAAAAGAATTACTATTTTTAAGAAATGTAATTCCCATGTGTATAATATTCTTCTACTATTATTGCATGTAAAATTCATTTTTTGTAGATTAATAACAGATTTATTCATTTTTATTCATTACAGCAAAAGGCTTTTAAAAAAGACTAATCATAACTGTGGTATGCTATACTCAAATGCCCTTCACCCAGACGACTGTGAAAATTCAAAAACATACATTTGTAAGTGTAAGCTTTAGTCTTAAAGCACTTGATGTTGGACTTGTTCAAATATTTGGGCAATGGAGATAATATGATGATTGCAAAACTCTTATAAATAATTGCATTCTTTGTTGGACTGGAAATTACATTTGGATCACTCCTGGACTTCAGCTTCCTCAACTGGCTGATATTCACCAGTATATTGTTCTGTAATAAAATATAATTGGGGGTATAACTCCTTGCGGTATGTTAAGTGACAGTTTATTTTGTTATATATGTTTATCAGTATAACTTTTAATAAACCAAAATACATGTCTGTAGTATAGTAAGAAATCTGAATGTGTGGTTTTATAAGGACTCAGATTTTGTATTTTCATGAATTTTTGAATATTATTCCCCATTTGCTTGCATTTCAATACATTTTTAATAACAGCTTAGCAATTTTCACATTGAAAACTTTACTGGGGGTTGAGACTTGTGGGCTGCGAAAGTGGAGACCTTTGTAAATGTATAAAGCCAAGGAAATACTGTCAACAAATTTTCAGAATAAATTTTTCGACAATCCTCAAATTCTACAACGGCTGGAAATAATATATGAAGTGTTTACTAAATAAAAAATACAGAAACTCAGGAAGAAAGGTCATGTTTTTGACATTTTAACTTGCTCTGCACCAAATGCCTTCTTCCCATGCCCATGATAGCCATGGAAACCAGCAGCTGTACCACTACTTGAAAGGCAGAACACTTAAACTTTTAAAAGTCCCATAATTAGAAAATTGTTAGTATTTTT